AAATCCAGCAAAGTACTTAAAAGTTAACAGATACTTAAATGCTTTGCTGGGTCAGTCTCCGTCACAGGATGAGCTGGGCCTATATGGACCTATGCCTTCAGTCACATGACCCTCTGTCACCTGATCAAAGTGCAGGCTAGAATAGGGGGCTTGATTCTTTGACAGGCCCAGCTCACCCTATGACAAGGCCACAGAACTTAGACTTTAAGTTCTGCTGGCTCCAATGGAGCCCCACTGGGCTGTTCTGGGACCTGGGAATTGCAGGAATGCAGCAGTCCACTAGCCACATACCCCTTCTGTATGTCACACCCCTATGCTGGAAGTGGGATGGGCGGCCCGCAGCTGGCCATGCCAGTTCTATGCCATCTGGCGATTCCTAAGGGGAAATTCTTAAGGTAGCCGGTTAAACTGGCTACAAGATTGCACCAATCTAGCAGTGCAAAGCAAGGCATTCTCTATATGAGCCATGATCTGGCCAACAGTCGCTGCTCAAGGAACTAGACAGATAAATGGATAGACCAGAACCAAATAGACCAGAAACCCATAGGAAGTACCATGCTTTAATACTGATGAGCTTCACGGAAGAGGTGCTTTAAGACCTGAATGCAGAGAGATACTGCTTCCCTTGGCCAGGGAGGGCATCATAGGCATGTAGGGATGCAGGAGAACTATGTTAATACAGTTAAGAAAGCCATGGAGATGCCACCTGTCATGTCATTCTCATGACACCACCTACATCTCAATGGCATTGCAATGCAGGGTGTGCAGTCTCCATTGTGCATCATGCCCAAATGGCTACTTCTGCTGAGGAGGTTTAGAGGCTCCCCCAGTCTCCTAGCACTTTGGGTGGGGTTCTGGCATGCCGTCAGGGTCTCCCAACCTGAAGGCAAAGGCACAACTGCCCCCCCTCATTCCCTACTTTTTTGCACCAGAAAGGGAAAAACCAAAACAAGCCATTGGAAACACTACAAAGTAACTTTAAGCCATGCTGTGTCCACTAACAGGAACAGATGCAGAGTATCCCCCTATGGGTCAATACCAAGTACCATTCTGTGCCACCTGTGGGCCACAAGCTCTGGGGGACGGAAACGCAATGAGTCACTGGCATCCTGGTCAGTGGGGACCAAGACTCTGAGAGGGGCCTCTCGGAGAGACTTGGGCAGGATTTTCTGCCCATCTAACCAGGAGACACTGGTCTGGATTGGGGGGGGAGCAGGGGGGAGACAAGCAGCGATGAGCAGCAGAAGGAGGGTGTATTTCAGGGGATGGGGTGAAACCTGGTTATTTTAAACTCTTCAGGCATAGGGCATGCAGAGCTGGGTGGGAAGGAGAGGGGGTATTGCCTGGAAGGAAAAAAGGTAGGAGGTGGGGGTGGGCTAAGAAAGACACAGCTGGTATCATGCACGAGAACTACAGTGATCCCTTCTATGAATCCTCTCCCACCCAGTGGTTGTGCCTATGCTATGTACTCTTTCACATGAAAGGATAGTGAGGTCTGAGCTACATCACCGCCCATCACACTGACTAGTATTCTCATTATTTCCTTTAACCACCCCACGCTAGTCTGTCTCCACCTGTCGCCTCTGGCCTTTTTCTTCAATTCTAAGCGCTGTTGTTTTTACTGCGTTTGTACAGCGCCTAGCACACTGGGATCCTGGTCCATGACTTGGGCTGCAAGGCGCTATAGTAAGACAAATGATAAATCTGCCCTGCCACAGCTCCTGGGGTCCAGTATTCTAGCCTGATGTCACAAGAGGAGCACAATCACATTCCTCTGACTTTCTTGTGACTTGAAAATAAACCGAAAGGAGGTTGAAATCATTTCTAGCAACAAGATTTGCAGATGGAGAAAACAGCACCTGAGAAGTGACTTAGTGTCAGCTCTCAACATCCAAGAGCTGAAAATGAGGAAAAGGTCTTTAAAAGAAGAAGCCCAAAGTGTTTCGGAATCGCAGCCCCACCGTTGTGTAATCCCCACCTCCCTCTGTTTCGACATTGCTGATTAACCAATTGCGGTCCCTCCTTGCTGATCCCAAGGAAGTTGAGGGAGGAAGAAATTGGAAACCTGACAAGAGCCCAGGGGGCCTGGGAGTGCAAGTGAAGAGCTGCCAAGACATTCCCGTTCCCAGGAGAGTACTCCACATACGCAGGACATGGCATGTATGGTTGTTCCTAAGTCTGATGCCTTCAGTTCTGGGAGCTTTAAAATTCCACCTGTCTCGTAGGAACCAAGGCTAAATGGCCACTGAAATTTAAAGGCCTCAATTTTTGGGTGCCCAACCTGAGGCTAATTTTCAGAAGTGCTGAGCACCCACAAATTCAACCGAAGTCAATAGGAGCTGCAGGTGCTCAGCAACTCAGAAGGGAGAAAAACAAACAAAATAAATCAGGCCTCATATTCAATGTTTATTTTTCAGCACCCAAGTTAGAAAAAGTTTGGCATAACTAAACAATCTAAATACACTGCTCCCCAGACAGAAGATCAGGAAGGAGTGAGTGAGAGAAGGAAATAGGCCATGGTGAGGCTAGCACAGCTGTGGGGGAAGAGGTGCAATGTGATATGAATCAAGAGCAGAAACCTGGGCGGGGCAGAGCTGGGCAGATCCTTGAGGGGCAGAACACTGCAGCTGTGCTGAGCCCTGTTCTAGTTACATGAAGCGACTAATAGGTAACTTTCCAGAGGACAGCAGCACAGCTACTAGGTAGGAGAAAGAACCTGCTTCTGGAAGCCTTTGCCTGCAGCATGAGCCGAGTCATTTACTGAGGGTGGATAAAGCTCTCGTATGGGGGTCTCTCACAATGAGGCCCTGTTTGAAAACACCAGTCAGGGGGCCTGATCCAAAGCCCATTGAAGTCTATGCTATGCAGGATAATACTGGCAGGGGTGATTCAGCAGTACCCAGGCTGCGGAGGTGGGAAATGACCTCTATCCCGGCCTCTCCTACCCTCCCCTACCATCCAGACACCCATTGCCTCCCAGACGTTTGCCAGGCATTTCCCTGCAGATGGAAAAGGAAAACACTGTCAGCCAGGATCTAGACCAGTGTCACACACCAGCCCTAATCATGTTGCTGATTCCCCATCAGATGGCCCAAGCTCACATCCACCTTTTGTAATCTGTTTCCGGTCATGTGCCAAAAGGAGACTTCAGTAAACAATTGCTGCCTTGAATGCTTGGGGGTTTTCCTCATGCTAGTGTCAGCACCACTGGTATCAAGGGGTTAATATTATAATGGGTATATGTGCCAATGCCCCCTACTGGATGGAAGAGGACTATAACAATGTTTCATGGACCCTATACTGCTAAGATCTAATGCAGGTTCTCCATTAATCCAAGAGGGGACATTTCCTTTTGAAGTGGGTTCTGAACCTCCCTCCAGCATTCAAGTTACATAAACTCCCTAGCAAGGCGGAAGATAGGCAGCTTCCTGAATATCCAACATGTAATTTGCTCCATTAATGAACTACAAAGTTCATGTGTGTCCAGTGCAAACCCAGATAGTGAGCTTTGATTAAAAGGAATCCTGCACGCTCAAAATAGATGCAGTGTTTTACCAAAAGCAAAATGGCACATATATTCCGTTTCTGGATTCCCTTTTCACTTGACCCTCGTCAGTACTGCTGCCAATATATAGGTGGGTGTAACATCTGCCTTGTGATTTTCTTGAGTGCCCAATCTCAAGTGCACTTGACAAGCCAGACTTTCCAAAGTGCTCAGCACCCCCAACTGGGGCCAGACTTTCAAAACAGCTCAGCAGCTCCCATTGTGATTCCTATGGGCTTAGGCCCTGATCCAGCAAATCATTTAAGCATGGGCTTAACTCTAATGGGACTACTCAACAGCTTAAAGTAAAGCACGTTCTTACATGCTTTGCTGGATATGGGCCTCAAACAAACAGCAGCAAGAGTTCTTTTCATCCATAGATCTCACGGCACTTTACAAAGGAGATCAATACGGTTATCTCCATTTTATGAATGGGCAAATCACTTCCCACCCTCATTTCCCCAGCAGCTCAATGATAGAGCTGGGTTCTATTCTTGGCTCTTACAAATTCCAGCTCAGTGCCCTGGCCACAATGACTAGTAACAGCTACCTCTCCCTCCTGCTTAATGCATTCAGTGAAGACTACAATTTGTTATGCCCTTGCATCACAGGCAGTGGATTGTGGCACCACCAATCAGGCGAGAAGTTGAGAGGTCTGATTACAAAGGAGAAAGCTTCTACTGACAGTCAAAGTTTGGGTAATTAAGAATGAGATGAGAAGAAATAGGCTACTGAAGCTGTGAAGACTGTTTTAAAGCACTCTTGGGTGTGGCAGCGGGTTTATTAAAACTGCCAATAGCTGTAAATAAGAGGCGCTCACCCTTCAAACTATGGCTCCTCCATTCCCGGTGAGTGTACACCACATCTGTGTACTTATGTAGTGCTACACTTAAAAGGCCTTCTCCCCCCGAAGTCAAATGAGGCATTGCCATTGATGTCTGTGGAAGCAGGACTGGACTTTAAGGCTCAGATCTTCAAAGGGAGTTAGGCAATTTGGACCTAAGGGTCTAATCCCTGCAACAGCTCTGTAAAGGAGGTGGTATCACCCTTTTACATATGGGTAAACTGAGGCAGAGTAAGGTGCTTGCTGCAGAATTGAGGCCCTGACTTTGGCAGGGTGATTTCCTTGGGAGTGGATTTCCACAGCACTGGATGAGAGTATAATGTGTCTGCAAACAAACATTGCCCATGGGCAGGGGCTGTCAAGGTCTGAGTGCAATTCAATATTCACAGCAAAGAGTCAGGCACTTGAGAAGCATTTGCAGCAGGATGAGTCAGCTATCACTGTGGGCAAGCAACCACCTCTTTTTCCTGTCCTTGCGAGTTGCAAAAGGGGTGCAGATGACAACAAGTTTCCAGGTTAATGGGAGACCCTATGCATTGATGTAGGGAACTCCCTGCAATACCATGCTGCCAAAGAGAGTAGTGACCCTGCAGAATTGGCTGCTGTACTTACATCCATGTAGTTCTTCAGGGTCTCTGGGGTGGGCTCCCCTACGCCAGGCACGCCCAGCTTGTATTTCAGGAATTCGCCCATTGCATTCAGATCAGGGATTTCACTTCCGGCTTCATTTAGGATGCGGCGCACTGAGGGGAACTTAGTCAGTGGGATTCTGTTTGGGAACCAAAGAAAAGCACATTGCCAGTTAAAGCAAGTAACCCCCCAATGCCAAATGACAGCATCCCTCCCCCCCTCCAAGCAGGGCTGGACCTCATGCAAAGCAAGTGATCATCTGGTACACAAGGAGTACTCAGAGGTTCAGTAGCAGTCTTACAAAAAATCCAGAACATGCTGCTGTTTAATGTTCTGAGGGACAGAATTTCCCTCCTCCTCCTTCTCCCCAGGGAGACCGCACCTGTTTCTGTTGATCTGTGCATACAAATAAATGCACACTAGGGCCTGTAGGGTTCTCAGGAACACATCTTCTGCTGGTGCAAAATGGTATAGTTCCATGGACGTTAACGGACTGGCCAGTTTACATCAGCATAGAATTTGGCTCCTAAGGTCAGCAAGGTTTACAGCGCAGCTCCCAGCCTGGGCAAGCTTCAACAAAGTTTATATTTTTCTGAAGCCTACTGTTGGGTCTTCTTTCTGGAGCCTTAATAAGAATACCTAGCGCTTGGTGCTTTTCATGTGTAGACCTCAAAGTGCTTTACAAAGGAGGTATCTGCGATTATCCCCACAGATGGGGAAACTGAGGTACAGAGGCTGACTTGGTCACACAGCAGGTAGGTAGCAAAGGCAGGAAGAGCACCCAGGTCTCCCAAGTTGAAGCCCAGTGCCCTCTCCAGAGAGCCATGCTGTTCGTCTCTCTCAATTCCCAAGGCCTGTGCATGAAGACAAGCACTCACGGCTTTCCATCTGGGGCATGTCTACTACACTTCCAGCTGGGGAAGTGTGTGTGTCCTCAAGCTCGGAATGGCACCCCCAGCTCCTACTGTAGACATCCTTGAATGAGCCAAATTTAGGGTATGTCACAATCCAGCATTTCCAGCATGAGCTGCTTCTAAGAGTTGGAAGCTCACCTCAACTTCAGTGACTCACATGAGTTTATATGTGTGTGGAGGGGAGGGGGGCTACCAGCACCAGAAGAAAAAAAGAAAAAAAAAAAAGTGTCAGGAAGTTTGGATACCGCCATTATTACCTTCCCCTGCTTCCATCTTTGAGGCACTTCCCTTGTTCTAAGGCCCTCTTCATACCAGAAGCAGAACCATGCTAGCTCTTGCTAGGTCATGAAAATGGTGTGTTGAAACAAGTGCCTGATCCAAAGCCCATTGATGTCAATGGGAATCTTGCCATTGACTTCAGTGGGCTTTGCACCAGCCCCCCCATTAGCAGGGTGCTGGATGAATATGGAAAAAAAATTCTGTTGGTCTTAAAGGTGCCACAGGACCCTCTGTTGCTTTTTACAGATTCAGACTAACACGGCTACCCCTCTGATACATGGAAAAAACAGACCATTCTCGCTCTGAAGGGCTTATAAAACCACATTTGGTGAGGCAGCAGGTGAAGCGTATAGCGCGGTTTAGTTTGGGAAATGGTTCCCTAATTCAAATGAACAGGGAAGCCTTGCTAACAATAGTTACTGATCCAGCCTCCGGATCCCACCATAGGCAACATCTTAGACTCATCTATTATTGGGAGTGGACTACAGGGATCTCTAGCAGGAGGGTCTCTGCCGATTGAAGTCACTAAAAACAGGATTGGGGACTTCAACAGCGGAGTCCAGGGAAGGGGTAGGGACGGTTTTATGGCCTGCAGCATGCAGGGGGTCAGACCAGATGATCATAATGGTCCCTTCTGGCCTTAAAGTCTATGAGTCTATCCACCCTGATCGAATTGGCCCGGTCAACACTGGCTCTCCACTTGTGAGGCAACTCCCTTTTCTTCATGTGTCAGTATAACAATGCCTGCATCTGTAACTTTCACTCCATGCATCTGAAGAAGTGAGGTTTTTTACCCAGAAAAGCTTATGCCCAAATAAATCTGTTAGTCTTTAAGGTGCACCGGACTCCTCATTGTTTTTGTGGATACAGACGAATACGGCTACCCCCTGATACTTGACACCTTAGACTCAGACTAGCAACTGCAGAAGTGCAGTGTTCCCAACTGCTAGGGATGTCCCAGCACCACTGAACTCATGGCCCTCAGCAATTTCACGCAAATGGGCAAAGCACGCTAATGCTCAGGGCCCCTATGCTACTAATGATCTTTGGCAACTTCTGGAACCAATGGTTTTGCTCAAGAAAGTGGCCTGCTCCTCAAGGTGTGGTAGCCAGCCTGCTCAAAACCATCCATTCCCGTCTCCCCAAGAAGCCATCCATTTGGACGCTGTTGTTTGTAAGGACTCGGCCAACTTCTTCCTGAAATTTCTGTGTTTCAGGCCTTGTCCATGCTGGGAAATTGACCGTGTTATTGCAAGCTGTCAGGTACCAGGGCTGTACTGGTTGCTGCTGGCCCACAACAAGAGTATAATTTTGTTAAAAACAGTTGTTGAAAACTGCTCGGAGTCCAGAAACAACTGAAGCACAGGAGGGACTTTATACAACAAATGAGAGCTCCCGTATCAGGCTGTTTGCCTATGATCGAAGAGTGGTAAAGTCAATACCTAGCTAAAGCCACTTCCTTTGTCGATTATGGTCCAGTGCAAATAAAGAAAGTTAAAACATTGACAGAAAGCTGATCACAGCTCACAGAAAATTAAATAAGGAAAACAACTTACAGCTATTTTGCTTATCATGATTTAGATCTTTGTAAACACTCCACTGAGGTTCCACTTGAGAGGACAACTGTCCCAGCTTGGCACTCCCTAGATCAGACTTCTGACCCCAGGGCCTCATTCACTGTTGTCCAGCACCTAAAATAGTCATTTTCACCAGTGTGTGTGGGTGTTACAACTACTACGCAGGACCCCCGCTAGAACGTAGGGTTTCGGATCCATGTGCGGTCCCGCGTTAACGCAGGAACCGCGTTACCGTGGGGACCACATTACCATGGATTCCAATGAAGGTAATTAAATTTGGGATCCATGCACGGTCCCGCGCTATAACTGAATTGGCGCTATAAGACGCGCGTTCTAGTAAGGGTCTGCTGTATTCTGATCTCAAAGCATTTTACACACACTTTGCACTGTTGAAACGGACTATGCAAAGTGCAGGGCCACAATGATCAGGCTCCTAATGTGTCCAGAAACTCCTACTTCTGTATCACAGATCAAAGACAACACACTTTAACAAGAGGGCATGTTGTTTCCACAACCCAAATCCTCAGGTCAAATCCCCCAAATCCAGTGCTACCTACTTCCAGAGTAAATGTATATTTTGTGGAGGGTTTTGTTTGAAGTTAACATATTCACTGTCCGTTTCAGCAACAAGAGGAGAAAATTCCTGACCGCTAAATAAAACTTCAAGTCTTGATGATCTCTCAGAATTTCCATCGGCCTTCACAGGAGTAAAACTTTCCAAGCCCTGGTTTTCAGAAGGGCTGAACACCCACATTTCTAGCTGAAATCAACAGCAGCTGCAGGTGCACAGCCCTTCTGAACAATCAGGCCCTGAGAAGTTTTGCTCCTGTAAAGGTCAATGAAACTTCTGAGAAATCATCAAGACTTGAGGTTTTACTTAGTGGTCAGGAATTTTCTCCTCTTGTTTTTGAAACTATCAGTCAATAGGTAAGTGAAAGTTAACTCAAAACAAGCTCCACCCCCAATATACATTTACCTTGGAACTATACAAGAATGAATTTGGGTGAGTGACCTGAGCCTGACAGGTTTGTTTCTTAGGGCCACATTCTGCTTGATGCTGGTCATCCTCAACTCTAACCAGTTTCAATGAGAGTTGAGTGCGCTCAGTCCATTTGCTGGATTTGGCCCAGAAGGAAGGTGACTAGTAAACAGCTGCAACACATCCAGGGTGGCACACTACACGCACTTTTAACTTCTGCTTAGCAGTAGCGAGACACTTTAAAGCACCCCACTGCCTCTTCTGAGAAAAACTTCATGAGCCAAACTGTGCCCTTGGAGAGGCAGGTGCAACTCCCAGGGAGGGAAGTCAATGGAAAAAGTCCGTGCCTAGCCAAGGACCAAATATTAGCTCATGATGGGTCAGATTTTTTTTTGCTTCTGTGCTTAATTCTCCCATTTCCAATCCTTGCCGAGGGCTGGATGCAGGGAGACTGTCTCTTTTGTCTGTTAGGCGCTTACCTGAGTCTGCAGCTAATTCCTCACGTCAAGTACTAATTCCTCCCTCCCCCCATGAGCTCATGATGGCAGAGAGAAATCGCAACCTCCCAAGAGCAAGAGAGACGCACCTATTCTTAAGCAACGAAGAGCCTGGTTTTCTAGAACCCTCCGCAGTTACCAGAGGCAGTGAGGCAATGGGCAAGCCTAAGCAGGATGATTCTTAAGAAATATGTCTCCCAGGAGACCTCAACAGCTCTTTGGAGCAAGGGGTGAGCAGCTGCTGTTGCCACCGGGCTCCCCGCCAGCACCTTTGTTTACAAGAACCTCGCCCCGGGAGCCCCTAGCGCCTGCTGTCTAGCCGTGCCCAGCTGCAGCACGTCCCTCACCTGATCAGCGCCGAGCATGGGACCACAAGGGCCAGGAGCAGGATAAAGGCGCGGAGCCCCATGGCTGCTGCGGAGCTGGCTCCCGGCGTGATGGCTGCTGCAAGCCTTATCCGTGCGCCACTGCCTTCCCACACCCTCTGTTATCCAGGGCAGGGGATGACTGAGCATGGAATCCTGTGACTTTGGGATCAGCTGACGGGCTAAAATTGCAATCCCGTGTCACGTGATCACAGCGCCCACTAGGGGAGGAGGAAGCTGGGGAAGGGATTTAACCCTGTAAACGCCACACTCGGGCGGAAGGAGGTAGTTTAGGGCCGTGTGGTGCCAGACTTTCCGTCAGCAGTATTGCTAACCCAAGCATGCAAACACCATGAGTCAGCCCCCCTCCCTCCGCCACAAAATATCATGAGACTGCCTTAGAGTGCTTTGCTGTCTGGCTTTTAATTTGGACTTTGGTCACAGGTTTCAGGCTTTTCTCTGCAGCCAGGAAAGCTCAAAACCTAATAATAATTTTAAAAAAGGGACGAGTGAGCTGCTGGTGTACTCATACGGTTTTCGAAAAACACCAAACGTGACAAGACTTGCACTACGATTGCAAGAATTTGCAACACTGGTAGAGAGATTGTGCCATGTCTACTTCCCACTCAATCACATAACCTCCCTGTGGCAATCGGGGCAGCTGCTGGCATGGAAAGAGGAGATCGGGAAAGTATTTCATATTTTGTACCTGCCTGTTAGTCTCTCCCATGGTATGCACAGTGTGCCCAGCCATTTCATAGCATTGTCATCAGCCAGGTGAGGAGGCAGTAGCCCACCGTGGAAATAAGTCAGTGGGCACTCAGAGAGAATATGCCACATAGCCAGAGGTTAACTGCATCTACCTGGTGGTGGGTCATTAGAGGAACCCCATTTGAAGAGACTGGCTGCATAATGGCCCTGTCCTGTTCGAAACCGGTTCAGGGATGACCACAGGTGTCTTGGCAGGTCAAAACCTGTTGGGCAGATGGCGAGAGAGTGATTATTAATGACTGTCATCGCAGACCTCTCATTACACCAAGCAGATTCCACCATGTCTTGTGGTGGCACAAGTGACTATAAAGGGCTCCTAGAAGACTGGCGAACTGGCGGGTAGTTGAAGAGGTCAGAGTACAGAGGCAAGCTGCTGTTCTCACAGCCCTTGGCCAGGAGCAGGATGGAGGCCCCCTCACGGCAAAGATGGGGTGGTGCTACGTTTCTAAGTATTGGCAGCCATGGCAATGGAGTTGCACAAAAAGTCCCCATAATGTGCATAGCTTTGTTAAGCTCTACATCGAGCAGCCTCACGTGAGACGAGCGACACCAGACAGGAGCACGTACTCTGCTGCTGAATAGCAGAGGGCAAGGACTGATGTTCTAAGCGTCCCTGCACTTTGAACTAAAGATTGTTAGTGCAATTTAGCAGCTAGAAACAAGGAGGAGACAGCATCATGTGAGCTGTCAGCTCAGTGCAGACCACTAGAAAGGGTTTTGTGGACCACCCGTGATGTATGGACCACAATTTGGGATCCCTACCTAGGGACCTTAGCAAAATTGCAGTATCTGGACTCCTTGGTCCTGTAGGTTTGAATTTTTGTAGGGCAGCTGCTCCATTTCAAGGCAGATGAACCAGATTCCCTGGATCTTTTAGAGAATACCATGAAAAGCCAGGTGCAGTCTGGTTTGTCTGGATGTTAAAGGTCTGGGGGCACTTTTTAGAACGCAAGGGGCCTTTGACCAAAATTTTACCCACTCTGAAGTTAGTGTGGGGGTGTTTGTGGCTGCTGCCCTCTAATCTAAAGACAATAAAACAAACCTTAGCTGCATAGATTGTAAAGAGATCCATCAGAATGGGATGTGCTTTATAATGACCAGCTGCAGGCCTCCTGCTGCTGACAGAATTGGGCTCTAAGCCCATCTGCGAAGCACTACTAGAGAATCTTCTGAGTGCAGGGAGGGGGGGACCTCCAGCCCTGTCCATATAGAAACTCCTATGCCACTTCCCTTACCTACTTCTGCCAGGTAATGTGGGGGGCTGGAGGAAAAAGAATGTAGCCAGGATGCTCCCCTACATTACACTGATCCTCGGGTCCGTTTTCATCCTCTTGATTGCTTAACAACTAGCACAGAGGAGTAAGAAAAACATGAAATATAATTAGGGACTGGGATTTTCACAGCCTGAAGCACCCCCTGGAAGCCTGGCTCCTCTCCCATACCCCCACCTTGCTATTATTATATCTTTCTTGGAGTAGCAGGGGAAAAGCCATTATAATTATTCTTTTTTTCCCCTGTGCATTTGCATTTGAAGAGTTATTTTGGAGTCAGTGAGGAAAGCAGGACTCCCAGAAGGAATAAAGGATTGGCAGGAGATGTGGCTTTGCAGCACCCACTTCGCAAGAGGGCTTTCAGGGTAAGGAAGGGGTGGGGGGGTCTAACAGCTGGGAGGACACTTCTACTAAGGAGATTGTGAATTTAATGGATGGTTAATGGTGCCAGACAGCCGGCCATGGCCCTTTTTTATCTACAGCACAGGTGGAACAGGGGCTTCTCCAAACTTATGGGAGAAAAGGGATCTCAGTTTCCAAGCCCATTCAGTTTTTGGCCTCTACTGAGGCTGCCAACAGGGGTCTCCCTTAGTAGCAACTGGGGTGGTGTGCTTGGTGTTGTAGTTACCCCATTCCCTGAACCCTTTATCAGCCTCCATCAGATTCAAACACCTCATCCTGGAAGGCCCTACAGAATCTCACCCCCACCTCTGCTCTCATTTCTTCCTACACTCCTGTGTTCCTCCCACTTCTCTCTCCTTCCTTTGCCCTTTTTCCCCCTCTCAGCTTCACTTCCTTCTTTGTGCTCCTCCCACCATGTTTCAGAGAGTCAGCCAAGCATCCTTCCTCCACCTTCAGGCCTGCTGCTTCAAAGAATCTGTCCTGCCTCGCTCTCTCTATGATCTCAGCACACCCTCCCCTGTATGAACTTTTATATCATCTTTTGCCTGGGATCCCCTTGTCCCTTGTAATCTCTTCAGGGGAGATAACATGGCTGCTGCATGTTTGTTAAATGCTGGGGGAGAAGGACAGTTCTATCAAGATTAATAAAACCAATAAACCAAGAGTTTCAGAAGTGACTAATGATGTTGGGCGCTCACCTTGGGATTAGAGCCAAGCATGACAGACATGCAATATTCTGGATAGACCCTTTTGAATTAGGTTTAATACTGTTGGGGACCACTGTATTAAAAATGCAATTGTTTGAGTGTTATTGTGAGATCTGGTCTACTCTACACACTTGCATAGATATAACTGTGTCTCTCGGGTATGAAAAATCCACACCCTGAGCAAGGTAGTTATACCCACCTAACCTCCGCTGTAGACAGCACTAAGTTGGTGGAAGAGCTTCTCCTGTCGACATAGTTACTGCCTCTCACAGAGGTGGATTAATTATGCCACCGGGAGAGCTCTCTTCTAGCGGTGTAGAGCGTCTTCATTAAAGCACGAAGGGGGTAGCTGCACTGATGTGCTGATGCAGCGGTTGAAGGGTAGACCTGCCCTGAGATTATATGCAACTTCACTGGGAGGTAGGGGTATACTACTGTAATCCCTCCAGTTATCAGCCCTTTGAAACTTTGTCCTGGGAAGGGGACCCATTGTCTGGCTCATTACCTAGTCACACACTCATCAAAAATTCGAACTGGATTCTCTTAGAGACCAGCAAACAAAGAAAGGATGTTGGGATAAATAACTTGGTGGTAAACAGACTCAGGGCCTTCTTTCTGAACCAGCAAATGGACAGGGCCTCTGGTCAACTGAAGGCCCCGGTCCTTAGGGAAGAGTTGGAAGGACTCTGGCCTACTGAGTTCCTATCAGACTGCTCTCTTGCTGAGCAAAAGGTATGATGAACTTGAAACCACAGGAGAATCACTAGGTGAGTTTTGAAGGACTGCTCCTGCCAGAGCCCCTGGTGGAAGCAGGGGATGATCTCAGGTAAGCTTATTAGCATGCATGTAGGTTCTTTTATTGTTTTTAATATGTTTCCTCTGTAGTGCTTTTGCCTTAAGACTAAAACAGGCTTTCTTAGAGAGAGCTGTGTACTAACTTACAACTGTAGCAATTACACGGTATACTGTCTCTGAGGAAAGAAGAGACGCAGGACTGCTTAGGGAGTCGGTCTTTTGCTGGGAATAACACAGGGAACTGTTCAGCCTGGAAATAACCCAGTCAGGATGGGGAGAGAGAAGTTGGTCTCCATCTAAGAAAAGGAATAGATTGGAAACTTTTGCTGGGCCACTGAGAGGAAATACAAGTGCAGGGGCCCAGAACTGCAACACTGGACAAATTCATTTTTTTTCCCCATTAGAAAGTGGCTATTTAAGATTTTTTTTTTTTAATTTCTGAGCAAAATGAATAAATAAAAATGCAATTAGGGTTGAATAAAATATTTGGTTGGTTTTTTAGAAGTTTAATTAAAAAAATAAAATTTAAGCACATTCCAAAATAAAACATCTTTTGGAAGCATTTACTTTCAGAAATTAATTTTTCATTAATTTCAGCATTTCTAATTTCCCCTCCCCTTTTTTTTGGACTAGAACTATTGGCCAAAATCAAGCCAAATTCACAGTTGAAGTCCACCTGCATCTGGAGACCCAGGTTTGAATCCCCACCCTGGAGCAGGTGTGTGCCTTAGCCACTAGGTGCGGAGTCATTCTTGCTCTCTGCCCCAACGACTGTTCAAGTATTTTATATAAAGTGGAACAGATTGCACAGGAGAGATTGCAAGCTACCTAACCCAGAATAGCCTACAGCCCAGTGGTTTGGGCATCACACTGGGCTAGGGGAGACATGGCTTCAAATATTTGTGTGGGGATTCCAGCCTCAGTCTGCCCCATCCCAGGGGAGTACCTGAACCATTAGGCTAAAAGTTATCGGGGAGGCACCTCTTCCTCTGGCTGTTTTGTGAATCTAGCCCCCACAGTTCTTTCTGGCCAAACGTATTCAGTGAGTTTGTGTCCAATTTGCAAACAGTTTCAGGTCAACTAAAACTGCATTTTTCAGTGAATAAACTATTTGCCAGAAAACTTTTGCCCAGCTCTGGACGAGTGCTCAGCACTGGCTGAAAATGTAGGCCCTTGGCAAGTGTTTCAGGCTGAGCAACCAAAAAATCATTTGTCGCTTTTGGGGGAAAAAAAAAAT